TCTTCTCATTCCTGGGTAGGATCTTACAGTCTGACCAAATTTTGGTCTCCAGAGTATTGTGAGGTTAAGACTCAGTCTTGATTTAACAGATTTGTCCTACAATAGTTTGTCCTACTTCATGTGACATGACAGTTTACTGCTCAGACATTTTCAGAGGTCATGTAATACTTCAAATTTCATAGCAGGGGTCAACTGAGGAGAAGCATCTCTTTTTTCACCCTCAGGTGAGACACTTTCTTGTTGAAACCATGCCACCTAGGTACTCACAAATGCTCTGTGTTTTAGTAGAGCTTGCCTCATGCTACAGACCACAGAAACAAGATGACGTTGGCAGCATCTCCATGGGATGATGCTTCAGTCAGGAAAAATGCCAGGAGAAAGGTTCAGAAGTCAGAGACTGCTCTCTGCACCTCAAACTCCCCTCTTCTCCTCCTCCATTCTGCCAGCCATGGGTATGTTGGACTGCCTGCAGTGTCAAAACCCAAATCATATTTCTTCAGTGACAACCTGAGAAATGGAAGGTTTTAGCCATCTACCTAAATCCCTGACACAAAGAACACAAACAGACTTTCTTAGGCAACAAAGTCACTGCTTTTCTGCAGGACTTTTCTCTGATTTTTCTTCTTTAATCTTCAGTACTTTATCACAACTGAACATCAAGACCTAAATGGACCCAGGTTATTTTAAAACACTAGTTTATTTGCTCTGTCCCTGCAAACAGAACCAATGCCAGATAGGCAAATGAACAGAGCACTGCAGCTCTTTATAGACTCTTCAATATCAAAGAGGAAAATAGGTTTTGTCTAGTTTTAGTTTGAAATTTTTCTTCCCCAGTAATTAGGGGATCATGATCCCCATAAATTAGGGGATTAAACTGTCTTCCAGAATAATTCAAGATATAACAAATAAAGAAAAGCTGAAAAGCAATACCAAGTCTTGCAAAAGATGTAGCAACAAGGAAAGGGCTGACAACTCTGGTGTGATCACAGTTGATGTGAAGGCCTGGGTCACTCCAGACAGGCTTTTCTTTATTTCTGGTATCACTGTTTCAGGTAAAAAGTGACTAGTACCAACATCCTAAGAATGGAGAAGAGATATAAAAAGTAGCTGATATAAAATAACGCATTTGACAATGAAGCCAACGGAACACCATTCTTATATCAGCTCCTTGTTTACAGTAGTGGCTGTACAGGCTTTTTACACACAGATCTAGAATTAGAGTAAACAATAAGACTGTCATACTAAAGTGATTATATTTATTTTTCTTAAATCTGCAACAATGATATGGTTTACTAACTACCAAGTTTTCTAAGAATCGAGTATGCATCTCCATGCCAAAAAAATCCAGAGTTTATTCAATATTTAATAAATTATGATCTAATAAATAAATAAAACATCTCATAAAGTATCTACTTTCTGCTTCTGTAAAAAGAAACTTTTACTTATGGGACAGGTGTAGAAATATTGTGGCTGCAAGCATATCAACTACAAGAATAGAAACTAATGCTACTACACCATTAAAACAAAAGGAGAGCTGGAAACCACTTGACAAATACAGAATTAATACCTGTTTATTACCTTGAGATTAAAAATAAAAATAACTGCATTATTTTCTGATGTTACTTTCACCTGTTTCCCTTAATATGTTTCCAAGTACTATTTCATTCTATACTCATCAAGAACAGAAATATTTTGAAAATGTGTTTTTATTCTTTTGAAAAAGTATGGAATAGATTGACAAAACCACAACAAATACAAATCCACTTCTAGAAAGTACAGATCTAATATCCCTTCTGTCTTTATTGCACTAACAATAAATTAATAACCCCAAATACAGCACAACTATGAATAAAAGAAATGAAAAAAGCCTTCCTGAGAATGAGGTTTGCAACTTCTCAATATTTTTCATATGTTTATGCTACATCCCCAATGCAGCAGCTGCCAGAAACACATTTTGCTTTGAGTAATCTCAACTGAATTCCTAAGCAAACTTCTTTAAAGCTTATATTAAAATGTGAGTTTATAAATACTTTGGTTTCAATTTTTTTTCAGAACGTTACTGTTTGACTTATCTGAGCAAAGTAAGTAGGACTTTTTTTCCTGAACCTCCTAGAAGTATACAATAAATTTCTGTATGTGTTTTTAAGCAAAAACAAACATTGAAACTAACAATCAGAAAACCCCATGGTTTGACACGCGAGATTTCCTCTTCCACACTACTTGTCAAGCAGCTAGAGAAAGAACCCTGTCCTGCATATCTCCTATTCTACACACACCATAGCTTTAGTGTGTGGTTTATTGGTGTTCCTGTTAAAGGCTGCTGGGGGGTTTTTTCATGTTTTCAGTGGGCATCAGCTTCAATCTGAGGTCAGTATTTAGACATCGAAAGTCAATTTAAAGAATGTACAGGATTTGTAGTAAGACACTAAGGACTCAAAAGAAATAAAATTAACTTTTTCAAATTATTTTCATTATCATTTATTACTGAACTATTGCAAAGTTGGTGGGGTAATGGTCTCTAATCAAAGGCCCAGATTTACAGTTTAATGAAATGTGAATCAGCCATCTCAAAAATCGCAAAAGGAAAGGTGAGGCAAAATTAATTAACCAGTAGAATCACTGGAATTTTTCAACTTAGTGTCTCCATGCATGGAAAAATTAGTGCTAGGATACAAGTATATAATTAAACAATTTCAAATGCCTCCTTTTCTTGTTTCATCATATTAATACTTCACACTGAGCAAAATTAAATCAACTATATTTTAACACAGATTAGTGTCTTGCAAGGATCCACAATTTGAGGGGAAGGTAATATGTACCTTGATGGGTAGTAACAAGAAGGAATAAGATGAATCTACTCTGAGTTGTATACTGTAAGAATTCTCAAAAGTACTGCTATGAATGCAGAAGCCACTCACTCTTGAAGACAACAAGAGGGTTGTCAAGAAAAGATCATCTGAACTTGTGTGTATCTTCAAAACTTAAAAAGAAACAAAAGGTGCTCAGGCCCCGTCTGGTGTAGAGTTTATCATTTGTGTCTAATATATATGTGTTCAGAATTTATGTCAATCATTGAGGAAAACAACACTAACAAGGCAGAACTTAAATTGTCCTTGGCTTTAAAGACATAAATATGTGTCATTTCACTTCACTGATTTTAAAGGCATACTAACAGTTAGAGATCCTTTAGAGAAAGTTCTGTCTTTAAAGTATGTATGTATGCATGTAAGTACATATCTCCCTAAAGCCAAATTTTAAGATGATAATCAACGGAAGCAGAACTACTACCTTACCAGCAAAGGGATCAAAATCCACTATCATTCTGTAGAGATGCAATTAAACAACCTCTTTCACAGACAAGCTAAGCCTTCTGATACATTGAATTCCTTCCAAAAAAACCAAAGAGAAGTAAATTTTTTGTAAAATGAATAGTACAATCTAATAGGGAAAAAGGTGGGGAATTTCCACAAAAATAATCTTATAAAAGTATTTTTAAAAGGATAAAAAACAGGAAGAATCTCTTTGGGATGCTCTCAGGAACTGAAAGCATCTTAGCTGAACATAGTGTAGGTGATTACTTCAATGCCATCATCATTATCATCAATATAAAAATTGGGAACATATAACTTCCAGTTCCTATGTATACATAGACATTTTCTAAACATACCAAATGAATGACAGATCACAACAAATAGCCCCCTTATGCATTAAAATTTACTATCAGCTGTGATGGAAATATGATTTTGTTTCTTATTCAAGTATAAATTTTTCTATTGACTTACAGTTCAACATTAGGCATTCCTACTCAATACAAAAGTACAAGTTGCTTCAATGATACATGTGATCTCTAATAGAACACTAGTCATATTAGGATATTTCTGCTGAGCACTTCATTTCAATCTTTATTCCACAAAAATCATATTGCACATAATTGATTTTTGTGTTTTGTGAACTTCTACTGAAATCAGATGACATCAATAGAAACAGATGCAGATGCTGCAAAAGCATACATATAGTGGCACCATTGTTAGACAAAAGTCCTATGTACAGCCTGACATTGACAATAAGAAGTTAAATACCAAATGGAAAATATTATTCAATGTGATTCTAAGATCTCTGTCACCAGTTATGACTTTAAAACATTCTGAAGCTAAAATATTATAAAGGCAGGTCCTGCTTAGAAGCTGAATCATGTTCAAGGTTATTTTTTATGTTTGTATTAAAGATCATAGATTGATTAATTTCATCAACTCAAAGTGAGAAAGATCAATGATGCTTATGGGTCCAACAATCTAACCCTTCACTGTTCGACTCGTTCTTGGTATGTGAAAAAAATTCAAGGTAAAGTTCCCATAAAATTTTTCAGTCTGCCTGCTTATCTGTGACTTTTGTTTAAACCATTAATTCATTACTCATACATTCTTGGTTTGTCTCTGCATCAAAATCAACAATAAAGAGAAAGTAATATTTCTGCAATTTCCTGGAGAGCCTCCAATGCCCAAGGAAAAGCGAGCATGGGGCTCTGGGCTCTGCCTCTGAAAGGGAATGATTTGCACATGTGTATACATTCAGTTATTCACTAAAGAGCAGAGAGAAACATCAAATCACTCCCTCTTTGGAAATGCTTGTCACAGTCATTTTCCTAAGAAAGGAGAGTTTGGAATCATAATTCACATTTAAAAAAACTAACAACAATTTTACTATTGTGGAATGGAAAAAAAAAAAAAAAAAGTAAAAAAAAGGCACTGACGGGACAGTTTATCCAGCTAAGGGGTGACCTGCTGCTGGCAATTCTCTGAACGGTACAAGAAAGACCAGCACAAGAGCACAGAGAATAAATAAAGATAATTTTTTTTATTCGTTGCCTGTAGGGTCTGTCAAGGGCAGACAGATGCTGCACTCAGACACCTGCATTTTGTTCTTTTGAGCTGATCCATGGCAATGATAAGGGGCAAGTTTTCGAGCATGCAAACACATGGGCTCTGCTCACAGCCACTGCTTCACAGCCGTGTGTCATACTCCAAAGGCTCATCTGTATCATCAGCTCCTCTGGTGCTTGTCTCCATTTCTATTTCGAAGGTTGGACTGACCCTTTCCAGTGTGTAGTCACTTCTCAAATCTATGGCAAGAAAATAAATTCAATGATGCAGGCAAGTAAATCTTTGAAAAGCACGTACACCCCAGGCAGTGTGTGGCCCAGTGACTGATGGCAGTGTTAGCTGTTTCCAAGAGGAGAAAAACCTGCAGCGGGGCAAAACAGAGCCATGGGGATGAGAACCCTGGGGGTCCCAAAATGGTGCAAGCTGATATGAATGAACCTTCCCTGACTGTATTCATTCAGCCGATTTTCCCCTCTATTATCTCTAGCTGCCACAGACACAAATAATCAAAACCAATAGCACCACGTTTTCTGTTTCAGAATCAAACAGCAATTATTACTCCATGTAGACACTGAAAGAAAGGAGTTCCCCCCAGAAAAAAAAAAAAACAGGTGGGTGGAAATTCATCCAGAATAGCAATCTGTTTTGGCTTTGAGTCTTTTAAATGTGCCCCACATTAAACAGAAGCATATTCTATCAAAACTAACATGAACAACAGGCAATTCAACTAAGCAGAAGGAATGGCTGCAGTGTATAGGACTCCCGAGTGCCAGGAAACCTCCAGTGAGTTTTCCCCAGCTAATGCACTGCCAATTTTTAGATTGTTACTCTTTCTCATTCTAAAAATTAAATCTGTTATACCTCTGTTATACCCCGGAAAAATGAGCTACCATTTTGCAAAGCAAAAGAAACAATTCAATGGGTAGAAGTTTTTATGCTCAACGCTAACATCAGGTCGATGAGCTCCAACCCTTACATGGTTGCTGGGCAAAACAGTAAGGTGAAAGAGCAAAATTCTCATATCTGCCTTTGCATAGAGAGAGCATGCCTGCTATAATCTTTCAGCTCAATAGAATTTCAGTTCTTGTCTTTATAACTTGTCTGGGCCTCTGCTTCCTTGCACTTTAAAGGTTACATATAGATTAAAAATTAATCTTTACTTTGCATACCAGGAAGTTTCAGTCTCCTGCAACAAGAGTTACAACGATGCTTTGCGATGAAGTTTCTTATTGCACCTTCTCCTAGGTTTGCTGGTCCAAATACCATCTTTCCAGATCTAAAAGAAATATTATTAAATAATCAATGAACTCAAAATAGACCAATTGTAGGGGAGGAAGATTATGATGTTTTCTATTTTTCAAATCAGAGATAAGTTAGCCCTTTGTATAACAACAATCAAAGGTTAGCGTACATCACGAGTTTCTTAGCTCCAGGACAAGAAAACTGCCAATTCTGGTAAAGTATTCGCCTAGATATATCCCATACTGTTTTTCCTTCCTGCTGCATCTCATAGATGCTCTAAAGGCAGACAGGACAGACTCAGCAGTTCCTACTAAAATGCTCACAGGAAATTTGGGCACAGTGAGATATAGACAACATATGCCAGAATCTCAGCAACTCTTTTTCAGCCACCACTCATTCTCGTCAAGCAAATGGTTTGGTTCGGTTTTGATGGTAGGCACCTGGGAACAAACCAGAGCCAGGAAGGACTTAGTTTTACCTTATTTGAGAACAGAAAGCCAAAAGCAAGCATTGTCCTACTCACATCAATATGCAGCACAGAAAAAAAAACACCGTACGGTGCTGACAAGTAAGGCTTTAAAATTTATTGGCATCTTCCTATGCTCATTTCCATGTGTCTGCATTCTGGCCAATTCAGCAACATTACTAGGGGATCCATTTGTGGAAGTGTATTGCATATTCTGAATGAAGCTGCCACAATTACAAACAGAAGCAAGCTATATCCACATATGTATTAGAAATATCACATAATTATAACAGATTCTTAATGTAGTCTGAAAGATCAGTGTTCATTAATTTTAATATTGCTCCACCATTATTCTCAAGAATTTAATTGACATTCTAGACATCATAGAACACACCACACAAGAAACACTTCCAAAGAAACTTTATGAATGCTAGTATTTTATTTTAATGATATGCAGAGTGGAAAAAACACATTTTAAAATCTGAAATCAATTACAGTCCTGAGAAGCTATAAAAAAAGATTTTAACTCTCTCAAATCTATCTGTAATCCACGCTAATAAAATAGATTCTCTCTAAAGACAGCAGTTTTCAAATATGACGCTCTCTTCTTTCACACACGAGAAAAGCAATGATTAGCCAAAACTACCATAGAAAGCTTAGCATCTCTAATTTCTGGGAGACACTAAAGACTGTCTCCTGGATCATCTGAAGGACTCATCTAATCAGTCTTTACCGCAAATTAGTACATCAAACAAGGCAAGAAGTGAAATATTATTTAAGTACCATATATACACTTTAAATTACATGATGCTATATAGCCATTTCTATCCCTTGGTATAATCTAGTAAAATGTCAGTAAGAATAGAACACACTTAATTATTTTCTTGGGCAGGCATAGGAAATTCAGAAGATTTCACTAACTCCAAGGCTACAGAACAACTCTGATACTTCCTCTGATCTGTTATTCCATGCAAAGTGCAGCAAATAGCACAAGACAGACTGATAATTTTCTCACACTGTTGTAAGATAAACAGGGATACTATCTGCAACATATATGAAGTAATCTTTCCTCTCTACCCAGCACCGGCAATGGTTCAAGAGGAAGAATGCATTTAAATTTGGAAGACATTTCAAGAAATACAGGGATAAATTGGGAAAATAACAAGAATGACCAGCAGTCTAGAAATCACAACATACATGAAAGGATTAGGGGGTAGCCTAAAAAGAAAAAAATGAAATTGAAGGACAAGATGGTGAGTATCTTTGAGCTTGTTGAAATTTTTTTCTCTGTGTTGACAGTAGACAGGACAAGAAAGAAATGTTTTAAGAATGAAATCGGGAAAAATCTTTCAGACAGTAATGACAGCAAACCATTAAAAACAGTTGTTCTGGGAAGTTTTCTGAGGTCATCCTTGGAAGACCTTAAGATTAGTCTGTACAAGACTTGTAAAGCCAGGAATGACCTGGTGAAGAAGAAGAACCAGCTGAACTCTTTGAGTCCCTTCTAACTCTACAAATGTTTTATAAACAAGGTCACTTTCCTGGTTATTCAAGGTCTGATTTTGTCTCCAAGGTAAGAAAAACACTGAGCCCAGCTTTCCTCTTTCCCCAGCAGGTGTAGTAATGTGAGTTAATGGGCCTAAAAACCAAAAAAATCTTCCTCCTTTTGTGCAGAACCTTACCTAATAGTTACGCTCCATAAATGCCTACCAGATTGTATGAGACTGGTGCTGGCCAGTAGGTAGGTAACACAGACCACACTGATGCAAAGCGTGCTCCTTATACTCCAGAGCTACAAATGCTCAAAGCAGACACTAAGACATTTACATGGCTTTACTGATGGAAGGTAAAGGACTGTGGGGTGCTTCGCGGCAAGTAGCACCTTTCCAGGAAGGTGCCCAAGTAATTTATTTGGTATGTTTTTGTAGATTTAGCTTCCAGTCCACCTGTTTCGTTTGTGCAGGTTTCTACAGTAGAGGTTCAGTTCATGCAGATGTTTTGTCTGCTGGCAGCAATTCAACTGTAAATTGTTTGGCTGGAAGTGTACAGCCTGGCAAAATTCAATAGGTTTGTTCTTCAAAATACATGCTAATGAGCAGCTTCAATGAACACAGTCTCCACTCATTACTAAAACCTTCAGCCCATCACTATCCACCCAAGAGCTTTCAAAAGGGAGAGTAAGAGACCTAGCACCTCTGACTCCTCCTTTTCACATGTTTGTAATGAGATTTTTGACTGCCAGTGCCCTTTTTCCTCACCTCTCTCAGCAGGCCTAATGCATCAATTATTTCCAATTTGAAACTCAGCCCACTATCTTCCTCATGTCTGAATCTGCTCTACAGACACTCTGCACCTAGTGTCTGTGAAAGCTTTACTCACGAAGACTTTGTTGTGGATTTGGCAAGTTGTATACACTAAAAAGAGCATCCAGAGTACTGCTTATGAGATAATTCTTCGCAATGTTTGGGTGGTACAGGAGTCTGCAGGGACTGCACTGTGTCATGACCTTGCTGCTGTGCCTCGATTACTTCTGCTTTTAAAGGAAATCTCTTTGTGAACATTTTAGTCGTGTCATTTTATCACTTCATACATCCTGTGCAGTGCACATGGCCAGATCTTCAATTAATGTTAAACATCCATGAACTTACACCAATTTACATCACCTCAGAATCTGTCTGAGATGTCACAGTATAAGGCATACTTTCTGAACAGATCTGGTTGTTTTGTCTTGGTACTGTATATAAAACCAAGACACAATACACTATCACAGAGTTAGAGGTCACATTTTGCCATGACAAAGTTCATTCCAAGACAGCATGCAGGATGCTTGAAAGAAAAGACTCATTACATGATAATGACATAAGCCACTAAATCAATGGAGTTAAAGAAGCAAAACATAAATAATTTAACTATAAGTAGTGCTAAAATTTGAATCAGCCCCATCAGTCAGATGCCTTCTATTTTCTCCCGGGCTTCTAAGAGAACGTGAGCTCAAAGGAACTTGTGAAGCAGCGCATAGGTTTTGATTAAGTATCTTACCTATAGATGAAAACTTAAAACAGATCTTGCTACTGTCAGAAATGTTTTTCTTGTGAGCAAATGAAGGTTACAGCAAAGGCAGTGCTTTTATATTGTTATTGTTATTACTATTTTCGAAAGTGCATCTTAGAATTGGGTATCTGCTAGCTGCTTACAGAATCCATCCAGGGTTTCACTGCTTTATTCCTTTAGATTCCTGAATCAAAATGATAGTTTCACAATTTGCTGTTCTGAAGATTTCCCTGAACATAAGAAAATCAAGTTGGTTTTGATTAATTAATCAACACTTGCTCTTTAACTAGGACTTGACTGTTTTGCAGATGACAAAAAACAAAACAAGTTCTGAAAATAAGATCTGTGTGATCAAATTTTAGTAAGCATCAGAAAATTATTTAATAAAAAAAAGTGCGAAGAACACTAATAAACATACACTTCAAGATAATGTAGATAAATATTATTCTTACTTTAAAGAGGATAAGCTGAGTTGCCATGTGAACTACTGTGGTCAATGACTGGCCACAGTCTTCAGTAATAATGATTACAGTTTATGCTACCACTGATATAAAACATCCAGATGAACAGTAGCAAACCAGACTTTTATACACCTGTAGCAATACCTTAAAAATGTTTGCTAAAATCTAGTGGACAACTACATGACTGACCTCTCTGTCTCTCTATCCTAAGCTATCCTTGTGCTTCTGTCACTGTCCTATGGTCTACTTTGGGAAAAGACTTTGTCACTGTGAGGTGTTCAGCATATTTTTGATGTTGCTTCCAAAATAAATATCATACGGCCAATACACCTACATTCATAATTAAACATTCACAAAACATTAATACAGTCACTTATTACTAATCTTATTAATGAAATATTAATAATGGTCCCAGAACTAAGAGCCTGCTTCCAAAATTAACTTGTTCTGAGTTCTGAGGAAGTCATCTGACATTTCTATAGTTAATTTCCCTTTGTATTAAATCAGATTATTGATACTTGTATCTTTCTTCCTTCCAAACATAAGACACCCCTTCAATCATATGACATGTGCTGAGTAAGAGGGAGCCAAGCTGAGCACAAGATGGTGGAGAGGCAGGGATGCCAGGACACAGCTGGAGAGATGTGTGGGTTTAGGACGACCCCCCAGAGAACAGGACCCGGCAGGACAGCCAGTCATCACCACCACTGTTTCTCTTCTCACTACAGCAAATACCAGCAAGGAGCAAGGTCACAGGATGGGAGAATGGCCGTGGTTCTGATTCTGAAATTTGATGCATGAAGGCAGAGACTACTTCTGTGTAGTCTCTCTAGTTTTTGTAGCTTTTCACACATGATTTATCATCTCCATATCACAGCTCAGACTGTGCAGCATGCTTAAATGCATCACTAGGACCTATCAGAAAGATCAGAGATACAGAGACCCTCTCCTCATCCTCTTAAGCCCCATACAGTCCATGAAACACTGCCCCACCAGGCAGGGGAAACAGGACTGCCACACTTAAGTTACTGATGACCTCCTTCAGTACAAATTTGTGAAGAGGCTTACATGGTCTTCCAAAATCCCTGCATAACCATGGGAAACTCCTGTGCTCCCAGAACACCACCATAGACTCTCCCCACCTTCCATACACTGCTCACCACATACTGGGAGCTGGGAAGCTTAGACCCCCGCCAAGACCACAGTCCTCCAAAGCACAGCAGAGGATATAGTCTCTCCATTGTCATCATACCTCTATTTAACCCAGACATGATGGTAAAAATAATAAAATCTCTCACACAAAACATAAAAACCACCCTAAATAAACAGACTATTGGCAGAATGTCTGAAGTGAATGATAATTTCATCAGAAAGAAACCTACTTTTTGTCTTCAGGTTTAATGACAGATGGATCTGTAAGGTTTTCCCCAACACCTACAACAAAATCAACAGTGTGTGTTACAAAGGAAGCTGATGACAATTTCATAATCTGGCACTTAATAAAAACATAATTATCCAATTTCTTTGTAGATCATAAAGTGTCACAGTTAAAGTGGTCATGAGTTAAAAAGAAAATGCTAGGAGTATAAAAATCTGTTAAGTATTGGCAAACATATAGAGTTCTTACTACAGTCCTGACTTCAGCTGCTTTGAGGTTTATTTATATGGAGACAGAAGGCTTATACAAAAGCATTAAATATTATGCTGAGGCTTAACTACTAAGCAAAATGTCACCAACCGCTGTTTAAGTTGGAGTAAAGGTATTAACCAAATGCAGACCTTACTGATATCAATAGATCTAACCTCAGATACAAGTTCTCTTCAAGGTAAAAAACACAACAAGCCACAACTTTGTGACTTGCAAATGCTTGGGTCTGTTACCCCTTTTTTCTTCTGGGTGGCCATGGAATTATATTAATTAAATAATTTCATTACAATACCTGAATGCTGATACCTATGTTGCAGTTTTCCCCAAACTGATGGCATGCTACTATTTTACCAAAAAAACTCTTTTCTTATATCTGAGAAAACAGTCGTGCTTTTATACCAATGAAAAAAATCTATGATCATATGATACGCAATTATTTTTATTTCAATAGCCCACTGATGCTAGGTTTATATTCTGCAATGAAAACAAGTAAAGATTATGGAAATAGCATATTGTGACTGAAATACCCCCAAAATCGCAACAATCTTCTATGAAGGTCATTTCAGTTGATGTAAAAAAGAAAAATGGTTGGTATGTATGTATGTGGAGATGGGTCTGATATTATAAAGTAGATTGTGATATAGATTAATCCTATTAGAACTCCAAGGGAAGCAGCCTTTGCACTTTTCCTAAACTGCAGACTAGAGAACTACAAGCCAAACACAAGGCCAAAACTAGAGCAGATTCCAGTTTGTTTGAGATGGAAACTGAAGTTCCAGTCTTGACGAGATTTACATAGGTGTTTGAATTCTCCATGTTTGAGCCAACGCAGTTGGTCTGGAACTGTCGAGAGTTCTATAATAAACCCATGCAAACTTCAGACAAATTCTAGTAGGCTATGCTGAAGACACACTTACTCTTTCTGTATTTTTTTTCATGTGCAGCTAAAACAAAATGAAGGCAAGCATGGAATTATAGGTTTATTTTGCATAATAAGCGTGTCTTTTTGTAATTCACAGCTTCTGGATGCTGTAAAATGTAAATATGTTAAGTCTCTGTCTACCCATATGCACTTCCCTTGACAGAAATGACAAACAATAGTGTTTATACTGTTTGATGGGTGATGTTCATCTTCTGAACATTGTCAACTGTTTTATCTCTCTAAAATATGCCATGTTCCCACTTACACATGTATAGCAAAGTGATCACATGCTCTTTGAAGGGTTCACTAGACTTTGTGAACAGCATTCAGGCATGCAGCTTATGTAAACTGCTTACAGATTTATTAATATGAAAAATAAAAAAATAAAGATAGCAGTTCACACTCTTCTGACAGATACGCACATACATTAAGTGTGCATATATACATCGGCACACTTGAATCTCTGTATTATTTATATATCTTAACAAAAATAAAAATACCTTAACTGTGGAGTGTTTTTTTTGGAGCTGGCTGAAATGTTCCTGAACACTTTATCTACCTGCTCTTTTGCCCATTCAGCCTAAACATATTTGAAGTTAAATTATCTTCCCATGACACCTACATTAATCTAGAGTATTTCTCTAGATACCCATCTGGATATTCATCTATCAGTGCCGCATAACCGATATCCAGGGGTTTCTCGAGCTTTGCCAGTATGTAAATGAGAACAGAATTTGGCCCATTCCTCAGTATTAAATTTTCTTTCAAGAGAATTGCTTTTCATTGGGTTTCAAATACTGAACCTATGCTAGCAGCCACCTTGCAAATCCAGGACAAGGAGCTCCCCACGGGTGTACACATAGGTCCAGTGAGAGAAGGCCAGCATCAGCTCTTCCAGCAAGCTGCTGGGAGTAATCTCATCTCCGTTGTTGTTGTTGTATTTCCGAAACTCGCCGGTCATGTACTTCTCAATGGTCAGCCACTGGTTCGCTGAATGGCAGTAGATGAGGAAAACTTCCAGGAACCTGTAGACACAAATGCTGTCTAGCAGGAGCTGGCAGGGTAATGAACATTCCCACAGTCAGCACATGGCATGATGCAAAGCAAATATACCAAAAAGGAGGACGCATCTTCCCTAGCTGGAGCATTTTGAACAGCAGGAAGTACCAAATGGTAGACAGCACAAAGGCTTTCTCTGTTTGATAACTCTCAAAACAAAGCACTTGATCAGAAAGTATAGTTTATGGACAAACAACATAATCTGATTTACTCCAGCCCACTGTAAATGAGCTGTATCAAATTGTCTTATGTTAAATGTATAGAAGGCAATTCCTGCTTAAGTCTAAGGAACAGCATTATAAAGAAGCTTATTTTGCCATCACATGTAGCTATGGAGACGAAGTTCAAAGCTGCCTACCTTTCCTCTTAAAAAGTGATTAACTGTCATTAGACTGCCTAAGCAGCAGCCATTTCAACCCACTAAGGAAAAGGAGGCTGCACTAGACCTGGTACACAGCTGAAAGGAGAAACCTTTGGCACCTAACACTTAAAGACAGTGCTTTTACCTTGGAGTATAGGGAATAGTATGAGGCTTCACTTGATTGAAGGTATAGATTAACTTCTGGGCAGCCCTTTGCTGTTGGATCTCCTGAAGAAAATAATGTTATAAACATCACTTTCATTTTCATGAAGAAAGGTGCCATGAATTTGTCCAAACAAACAAGCAAACAAACACCTGATAGTGTACTGTTTACAAATGGGAGATACATATTCCTCAAAACCTTTTTCCTTTCCAAAAGATAACATCAAGCCACATGTCAACTATGCTGAAGACATTCACACGTAAGCAGTATAACATTTAAGGCACCTCAGGCTAGACCAGTCAGTGTGCCTTCAGGTCTGAACTCACCCTCAGGCAGAGATGTAACACTGTGCCATCATGAAAGATCTTTTGCCAAGTCTGAACCACCTCTGGCAGAAAAGACTTCACAATAAATACTTGTCCCAACTTCAATATATCGTTCTCAGACCAAGTACAAATGACCTTCATGGCCCTCCGCAGACCCCCATCCATCTCCTCCCGTGACAAGACTTGGATCATTGCAGCCATACCACGCTGGGACCAGGAAGACATGCTTTTATCAAGGTTCATAGGTGAACTTTCTTCTAGCCGATAGACCGTCACTTCCTCTCCAGCTTAATTAAAAGGAAATTTCATTAGCAGAAGTCACACATCACAGAAACAGGAGAGAACTGCATTTTGATTTGGTGTCTTAAAATACATACCACTTTACACACCTTTGTAAGCTACACCTTAAAAGAGAGCTTTTTTTTATCATTAGTGTGAAAATTCATCTGTGTGAAAATTTCCCCAGCCTAAACTTCCATTACTTAGTACATACATTCTGCTTAATATGTACTGTGGTAACAAAAGTGGTCCAAAGAGTTTGTATTAAGCCTCTAAACAGAGATGAATTAGAGACCTCCTGGACACTTCCATACAAACAAAGCTCACTTGCCACTTTAAGCATTAAAGATGGCTGAACTTTAAAAGTACTTATTTTTAAAGGGTTATCATTTTATTTCCAGTCTATGAACTTTACATATCCTGAGTGTGGGTCCCTCTGTTTCTGTACTTATGTGGAAAGGAAATTTTTAGTAAGATTTGTTTTAAGTTAGTTAAGATCCATGGAGCACTCACAGTATTTTCATCATAACTGTGCTTAACAAAAAAAAAAAAAAAAAAAAAAAAAAAAAACAAAAAAAAAAAACAAAAAACACAAAACAAAACAAAACAAAAAACCACAAACCAACACCCAAATAAATAAGGCAAACAAACACAGACAGTTTGCAGTAGTTATCAACTACAAAATTAAAGAGCTGGAGAGTGCCACCTTTCCATGTAAACAGACAGCTGAGTTGTTTCAGAAGTGGAGACTTGGCCACAATGAGCCAGGGAAATTAGATTGAAAAGGACATGATTTTCCTTGGCACAAGGAATCCTAGGAGAACAAGCTAAAGCAAATAAACAGGAAGTTTACAGTTCTGGTGTTTTAAACTAAGATTTGCCTTTTTCCTAGAAATTCCAATGTTATTCGTAGGGCACAAAATTTCAGATGTTCTACTCCTGCTACTAACATTTTTCTGAAAGCAGAACAAGCCTGCTGAGCTTTAACTCAGTTGCACTCTGTTCCCTTATATAGTTGTAATAGCATTCCTCTCTTGCAGCCTAAGCAAGACATCTTCCTGTTGCCATCATTTGTAAACAGAAAAGTGGATTGATTTTTTAAACTTGGCTTTCCTTCTTGCAACTCACATTATTTGCAATGTTAATTTGCAAGAAACAGGTTTTCACTGGTAAGTGTGATCAGGTAACTACATCTGCAAAATGGCAAAGAATAGCATAAAGAAGGACAAACTGGATTCAGACTACTAGACTTCCTCCCCACTCCCAAACCTACCTTCACCAGTTAGCAAAAATGTGAATGGTGTTGAATGCCACAATTTGCTCACATTTTAATTTAAAATAAAGCAACAGAAAAGCCAGTGTCTGACATAAAAGACAGGTACTTGAATAAAGATACCATAACTAGACACATTTTTTAATCTTACATTAATTCTTCTTTCTATTATCTTTTGACAATTTAATACCTAGAAAGGTATCTCCTGGGAGCTTCAAAGATTAGAATGTTCAGTATGCTTATAACTGTATTAATTACCTGCAGTGATCTGGTCCCAAGAAATCCTATGATGCTGCAATTATGAGCAATTAGTTGCTGTGAGACAAAATATTCCACCCATTGAAAAGAAGGCACCTAGATCTCAAGTGTCTGGGTGCAGAACTTCTGCTGCTGTAAGCCAATACCACACACTAATTTCAGAACTCTTCCAAATGATCGATGTATTATTCTCTACCCCTCTTCAGTTACAGCACAGCTCTTTTTTTTGGTGGTACATGACAAGTGTCCTGTACCATATACAGGAGTAGCGCCCTTTCAACCAATACCTCATTTTCTTCTTGATGGGATATCCTACACATATATCTACAGGCATGAGAGAGAGAGAGAAAGCAGATATCAAGATTAAGGGGAATCTTTTTGCTGTCTTCAGCTATGCTAATGATAGATATAGAGAAGATAGAGTGAGATTCATCTCTGAGGTTGACAGTAATCACATGAATGCCAACAGATACAAGCTATAGCAAGGGAAACCCCAACAAACACTGGGAAAAATAACAGGTCCACAATGAAGTCAGTCAAACACTGGAAGAGGTTGTCCAACGAAGCTGAGGAATCGCCACTTATAGACATATTTAAAATGCAATTGGACAGGTCCTCAGAAACCTGACCTGAATTGGCCACAGAGGGAGTTGGACCAGGTGACCTCCAAAAGTCCCTAGATTACTGCATGACTACAATTCTGTCCTGATTCACCTCTTTTAGAAAAGAATTGCTGAAATTAATCCGAAGAAATTTCTCAAACACAGACTTTAAAAAGATAATGCACCAACTATTTATAAAGCAAAAAACATAAGCAGGAAGTTGGTACTTACCAAAGAGCTGGACTGGTGTAAATGGTATGGTCTGAGCAAGTCTCATTAAGTTGTTTCTCTCAACAGCTGCAAACAACATAGATTTCACTACTATACTTAATAAACAACAGGCTGGCTGAGGTTCAAAAACTTCTGGCAGCACTTTAGTGTTGTGTACGAAGCCCAAGAGGCTGCAGTGTGATCCTGTATCAGATCTGATTGCCATTCCACCCAGCCAGCAACTCCCCTTTGCATGCTCATGGTATCTCACAAGCATCAGCTGCCACTCT